CGATTTATAGCAAGTTAAATAGCACACTAGGACCATTTTGGCACATATCATTGATTCCTTCTTGGCTATATTCCATAGTGAGAAGAAACCTTGTGTGATACAAAGGGTAGGTACCAATAGCTATACTGGCCCCAAAAAGGCACCGACAACAGTACACCTAGTTACATAATCGCTTGCACATGGATGTTGACTGTTCAGCGACCGTTTTACAACCAGCTCCTCAGAACTGTACATTGTAGACCTATTATAGGATAATGCTGATATCTAAATGATATGCAACAGGAGACGTGTAAAACTAATCCAGTTCTGAAATGATCTTGTCCATACTCCAAGGAAAAAACTGATACAATACAATATACCATATCACCAGGGCGAGTCTTTTATTAGAAACTGATTGCAGAATCATGCAAGTTGTTAGCATGTGTAAATGTAACCATACACACTGGTTACCGAATGGTTTATGTAACAGTGGAAATGTTTTCGTCAGAGCATTCTCGAAGTAGGTACTGTGTATTCCGTTTAAATTATTTGTTAACTTTAAGACATATAAAATTACCTTTTTGGGCGGGATGAATTTGATGTATTTTGAAAATATTCTTGAAATTACATCTTAAAGTGAACTGTCGTATTTGAAACAAATTATCATTGACACTTGTTTTACCGAAGATCCAAGAAAACAGAATACTGTTATAAGTGTAAGCGGATCGGAAAGCTTTGGTTTACTTGATGGGGTGTGGGCAGCAGTGATACACTGAAGGGAGATAACTGGTCTTGGGCGTGGTGTACTGTCCAAGATCGCCTGGCTGCTTTTTCTCTATAATTGTAATCTCAATCAAAGACTGTACCGAAGATTTATGGCGGGCAGGACAATTTATCTCTATCACAGAGTAAATCGTGAGTTCTTGAAGTGTCTCGGTATGCCAGCTGTTTAAAGGACTGGAAAATAGAAAAATACAAATTGTTAAGTATTAGCACTTCAATCTAATACTACTCGATCGTTTCCGTTATATAACAAGCTTCAAGTAGCAAGAAATTAAAGAGGTCAAAAATCTGCGTTCGACAAATCGATGATTGGGGTTAAAGAGACTCGGGAACAAAAGTCTTTATATACAACGGTCCAACTCTCACCACAAGTTGTCAACATTCACTCTCAATGTTGAAAAGACGAAGCCTTCATGCTAGTTAAATGAAAAGCAATTTTCCACCCCAGATGTTATCGCGCAGACAGACCGAAGAGACCGCTTTATTAGAACCAAGGTGATCGTACGTTACAAGTAATCAGTGGCAAATGGCCGTACGTTTGTTTACTGGCGATTTAGCTAATCTCGGCCTGTGATCCTATCTGTGTGATACATTCTGATGTAGCGACGGGGTTACTACACAACCCAATGAATGACAGACTTCTCTGTCTAGATAATGACCCATAGATACCCTTTTAGAAAGTATCATAACAGTTTTATAGTTAAGTACTTAATCACTCTGCACGGTGGTCAAGCCATGTCACTGTCGGCGCCAGTGACGAGCGGCCATTGACCACTCTGCTCTGCTGTCGGTGGTCAAGTAGAGCTGAAGGACATTTGAAAAATTCGTATATATTTAAATTATCTAAATTAGGACAACCTAGATCGAAAGACATGTATGTTTATATAACGGTTTTGTTACGTCACGAAGTTGCAATCAAGATATATACAAAACAATTGTCTGCAGATGGGAACATTGATGGTTCATTTTGGTACGACCTGTATAGGCTATTGTGTTCTTGATTTCGTATGTATACAAGTTTAAAAAACGACTACGAAACCTCAATGTAGGATAGACCAGATTTCAGAAAATATCGGGCTTAATTGAGGATAAAAAAACTACAATGGAAGTCAGAATAAGTAACCTCATGGCTTTCCTTCGGCTCAGTATAACAACCCAATAGAGTTAACCCCATTTACAACTTTGCAGAATTATATTGGGTAAACACTGTGCTCGTAAATAAATTGTAAAGGAAGTGGCCGAGGAGTGTAGATAAAGGCGTCCTGTTGTAGCTAGGCCCACATCAATGGCGGTGCTGGTGCCCCGATGTCCAGGCCGCGGTGGCAGGAGTGTGAACTTCATTGAGTAGTAGAAAGTTCTACTGTGCACCATAGAACCGTCATTAGTGTAGAGACTACGGGCGCTTACCTACCAATAAACTCCTGGTAATTACTACCTTTCCATCGTATTGTACACAACAAAGTTAAACCGGCCAAAAGTAGGTACACACTAGCATAATTGTCGACAGGGATTAGTGACCGACTTCCGGATAGCAGGTGAACGGAAGAAACTATTCAAGCTCGTGAATAAAAAGATTTAAAGATCGTGTACGTGCGTTCGTTCTGATTAAGTCATACATCGAATCTCGATTCGTTCACTCCTGATTAAAGACTTTTGCTTCTGCACCTCATTTTCAAAGTACACAACGACGTAATAAAGTAGTGTTTGTAAAACACGAAATTTGAAAACTTAATACCGAATTTAATACTGGTCGCATTTGGATATCTTTAATTGATTGTTTAATACATTGTCTTTAATGAATGACTAGTACAACATCGGCAATAGTTGTCACAGTGATAGTATCCGCATTCTAAATGTCACCTCTGTGAAGTATTGGCGAGAGACAACAGTTCGTTAATACCACCACACAAGTATATTTTGATGACATGCATGTCTTAATTTAGGGTCTCGATGTCTTTCTCGTGTTAAAGCAAAGTTAGAGGTCATTTAGAAGTACCCGTAAAATGACGGAAACACGCCCAAACGTATACTACCTTACCCCTGATGGCCGGTGTAGAGCGACGAGGGTAATACGAGGTTTGCGTGCTAAGGTAGCCGCTTAGGGACTCGGATGAACACACGAGAGGGCTGAGGTGCAGCTATGTGTTTTTCTATACAAAGGCAGTGACCCTGCAATGGGTAGCTACCAATACAGCACCCGAGCACTGTTATTATAGGGTACTTAAATGACTTTCAACATGACATCGAAACCCCGATAAAGTAACTAGGGCGGGTTGAAATGTGAAGAGAGCAGTGATTTTTTTATGGAACAGAAGTCGTTAAAACTTGGTGGTCTAGACGCAGACACCTTTGTTTTAATTCGATATAGTATAATATCTTTCTGACGTCATTTTCGTGACGCTTAATTGGATTTCTTGTAACATGGAAATCATCAAAATGAAATCCTATATGCACTACAGGCAAGCAGGTGACAACTCTACTGAACCGGCCCTGATCGGGTATGACTTGTTTACCAAATCTGACCCATACTTTAATTCCTGTGAGAAACGATCAACACTTGCAGTATCTTTTTTCGATGTACTGGCCACAAAGACGAAAAAACTTATCCTAAATATGGTTTACCTTGTGTGTAATGAAAAGAAAATCTGCATTATCATCATGTAACAATAATTTCCATGAAGTTGTTGTTTTAGGAAAGTCTTGTCAACGTTTGAGTGATGGGCTTAATCAGATGGTAAATAAGATGTGGTGTACTTTCTACATAGCTGATCAAAAGTCTGGTCACTAAAAAACACATTTACATTAAGTGCTTTGTAAAGTAGCATGGAAAAAAAATCAGGCAAATTTGTTATAGATATACAGAATGAAACCTCGGAAGGAAATAAACATCTTAATTGTCATATGAATTATGATTGTGTCTGAGCAAGCAATTGAGATATCATACCTTAACAAAGTGACGAGTAAGGCCTGTATTAGGTTATTTTTGACAAGCAAGACGACAGGTAGACCAGGTGCGCTAGGGGGTGTGTACATATGTTGACGGTATGTTTATTCATGTTGACGACACACAAATGTAAAATGTCGCCTAGTTTATTGCCGAAACACCTGCTAACTTGGGAGAAGGTCTAATTAAACTCGGGGTACCGCGACAGCGGGTCACAGTAGAGCGGCCATCTATCAAAAGTATCAGATATTATAATAAATGGAAGTTTTTGGGGACCTGTTTACACATGAAACATTATAATTATTAGGGACAGTTTTTACCGTAGCCCTAACAGGATCTGTTGATGTTTAAGAGGAAACTCTTCTGGCTACATGGTAAACCTTCGTATATAAAGAGGCGTGTAAATGGAATCTAAAAACGTGTTTCAATCAATTTTCATCTCAACCTGCCCATTGTTTTTGCGTGTCGACTGTAATATTATCTATGTATAAAACTCAAACGTGTTCGACCTGTAGTTTTAGTGCAAATTCTTTTACCGCAGGTCGACCTCGGCGATAGGAAATTGTAAGGTGGTAAATGGGCTGTCTCAAATAACCTAGAATTAATAATACAACTATAAAGATACAAAAACTGATGATATCGCTTTTGCATCTGAGAGCAATGTACTTTTTCGTATGCCATCAGGGTCGCCCGCCCAACAATTAATACCTTCTATATATAAAGCCCCTATATTCATCTTTCAATCAATTTGTTTCCTTGTTTTATGATACATCAAATGGAATATTTGGAATATCTCCTCCCATTTCAAGCCGACTTAATATATTGACAGATGTATCTATCTCTTATCACTGTATCACACACGACCACGTACACTTTGTACATATGACATATTTCATGATATACTATAAATGAAGAAACCCGATTTTAAATGTGTATAATTCTACTTTGCTGAGAGTTCGATAACAAACTATATACGAGAGTGTTTATATACACAAGAAAAAGAATGTCATTTAAACATTTCTCTTCTAACGATTTATGTGAATACATGAATTTAAATGTAACACATTGCTTGATATATAGGTGATGCCGTTTGTTCGTTTCATCTGGTTGATCAAAAGCAGACTGAAATAACGAATTTGTTAACACTGTACAAGGATGTAAAATATTTGATTTTTAAAGGAAATTTTTATAACTTGCACGAATTATCCGTTCCTTTCACTTAAAATTGGTTATCATAAAAACGTACATATAGATTAAACAGGCGAAGAATTAATTTGATTTCTTGTTTTTTCAGCTGAGGTGAACGGTGAGGAGATGTTTGTATTCAACCTTACGTCCATCATACCCTCAGAAAGGTTACTTAGTGCAGAAATTCACTTGTACAAGAGGCAGATGAAGAAAACCAGACGACGTCGACGAGATTTGGAATTACTGATGTACGAAATAGCACCTCACTACATGACAGAAAATGGCAAAATAACAATGAGAGCGGAAAGTTTTGGATGGCAGTGGTATGACGTCACAAATGCTGCTTTAAGTTGCCTAGCAGCGAGAAGGAATATTCCGCATCTGTTCGCATTAAATTTTCAAGTTGAAAAGCACAATGGTAAAGTGAAAGACGTAGCACTAAAAAAATTCATTCGACATCATTCCATGCCTTTTCTTATAATTTATTCAAATGATACTCATAATAACGAACTGGAATCATTGGAAAATTTAGCGGAAAAAATGCATAAAGAAAAGAAGGAAGATAGTGACTTTGTAAATAGTAATACTGACACTTTTGTCGACTTTTCCAGAAGATTTAAAGTCGATAAATTCAATAGTGAGGTCGATTCAAATGACCTTTCTCAAGATAAAACATCAAAAAATGTGCAGAGACGTCAAAAACGCTCAATTTTTGATAACGAAATACCAGAGGTCCCAGAGGAATATGACACCTTTCACCGGAAGTTCAATATTCCTCAAACTCATCCGGACATTTTACAATCACGACGGGAAAGTCGACACAAAATATCCGATTCTCGTTTGATTCCATATCCAGATGGAGACAAGCGAAAAAATAGGAAGAACAATCGGAAAAACAGGAAAAATAGAAGGAAAAATAGGAGACGAAAGAATAAAAATGCTAACCTCCTTTTCCCCAAAGAGTGGGATAGGTTTCGGGGAAGCGCAACACAGGAAAACCAAATTAGTGATACATGTAGCAAGAGGAAGCTTATTCTGGACTTCGCAGATATCGGCTGGGAGGACAAGATCATCGCTCCTAAATCTTTCGAAGCTCACTACTGCGCAGGCTCATGTCCATTCCCACTTACCAAGGTAAATTCTTACTTTTTCCCCAAATGTTCTTTTTTGTAAAGGAGATATAAACTATGTTCCGCAGGCAAATATTTTTTACGCATTAAGGAGTTGAGTTTTAAAGTACGTGTATTTGAATCAATTAAAATTTTAAATTAAAATTTGAAAAATAGGCACATTCAGTTACGTAGTTTATTAGTAATACGTTGCTGAAGTGACAGATCCCCAATGATATATGGTGCGTGCTCCATTACAGAAAATGCATCGTAACATAGTTAACGATAAGATAGATTTGATAGATATTGCTGGAGATTTGCAATAGAAAACAACATTCATAATACCTCATGTCTATGGGCATTTTAAAGACTCAAGCATTCAAACCTTTTGTTTGACCTTAAACTTTAAGCCGGAGTGAAAATATGTCTGAATGTTAGGTGAATGTATGGTCTGTTGACAGTTCTGAGAGGATAAGGTCAGACGGGCAAAGATAAGGATTGACGAGGAACTACAGATGGCTATTGAGGTCGATATCATCATCCTTCTCGTCTGCTAACGTATCTTGTCCATAACAGCTACTGTCCAAAATTCCTCAGCACGTGTTGTCTTGACAAACAAGTACCGGGCACGTGTCGGAAAGGTTCACTAACGAACGTGTGTGTTGGCTAGCATTCCGACCTCGGTCTTGATGAATGATACGTAATTCGCCACAACACTAGGTCAGCCCTCAATGACTCTGATGGCTCGTTTCGCTAATTCATCTTGTTTCATTCAGACATTCCGCCAATCGTTTGTAGTTGTTGAAGGTGATCCTGGCCTTTGCAAAATCGCAGATGGTCTTGTAACAAATTGTACTATTGTTATGACCATGTTTTCCTCGGGATGTATTCGTTACATGCTCAATGGTCGGGCAACCAGATAACATTGAATACATGCATTAGATAGCGACACAGTGTATTACGTGCGAACATGAGTGCGAGTTCGTGTGTTTGACGTGCAGTGCTTGAGGTCACCGTTTGGCCTTCATCTTGCTGATAATTTAGAATCATACGTCGACTGGCACCTGTTTCTAAAATCTTTGTTAAGAAGAAAACGAGACTTGAAATTTTGAGCTCTCGGATATATCTGATTCTAGAGTTTCGAAAGAAAGAGAGATAAGATAGGAAACGAATGCAGGTGGATGCTTCTTTAAATATTTTATGCGTTGTAACGTGGAGACTTGAATGACTCCACCGTAGGGATTCAACTCTTTATAACTGGACTAAATTTGGCCAGGAAATAAAACGCCGTCGATATCTTTTCTGCATATGGCGATGTCATATATCAGGCAGCACATTAAATAGAAAAAGAGAAATCCGAACAAGATTTATCCGGTACATAGCCGCTCCTTACACCGCCATATGTATAGGATATGTAATCCGGACGTGGTCTGTCCGGTAAATAAAACGGCATACACACCGCTCCTTATGGGTAACATGACTACAGACCCACTATGCTATCTCCCGAGTATCTAGAAGGACTATCAGGGCTGTTTGACATACGCTCAGATCTTATCGCTAGAAAATGGATATTAATATTATAGTCTAAATGTCTGTAATTAGAAATGCATACACGGTATTTATTTCTAAGGACGTCACATTCAACGGTTCTTGTTGGCTCAATTTCCATTCCAAGTAATCCGGACAGTGTACTAACTTCATACGACGTTACGTTTGTACAAAACAACTGTCATTGATAATTGGCTAGGTTTATCGTACAAGTTAAAGCCTGACCAATTCGATAATTTGACAGGTTGAACATATCGCCAAATTGCTCTTCTCTCGAAGGAATATTAGTGACTGTCGCCTGTTTTATGTGTTTGTATCCAGTTTCACGCCATTTAAAACGTTGACAGGTTGTCCTAGACAAGATAAATTGTGGCACGCACAGTAAATTATCGTCACATATTGATCTGAATTACAATTTTAGAAGCTCGGAAGTAAACTACACAGTTATTTGTCAAATTCAGTAATTTTCGGATATATTATATCATAATAAATGAAAGTGAGACTCTGCCTATCTTAAGTATGGTGTTATGCAACTGTCGTCTGCCAACGCACGCGCCATTCACTAGAAAATGGCTATATCCGGTTTTAACTTTCTGACATTTTTGGTATGTCTGCCGATTACATTATCATATACATCCATAATAATACATTTTATTTTCCATCTGACAAGAAAAGTAGATCGTATAAAGCTTATATTACTCTCCCTAATGCCACACTTCTTACAGAAATATCCTATATATTATCACTAAATGTGATCATCATATAAAAAATATATATTGCACATATTTAAAATATCAGAAATCTACTGATATAAGAAACATTAAAGACAGCGTAATGAAATACCCTGTCCTTAATTTTACCGTTTATATTGTTTTCCGTAATATATGACCGGGGGATTCCTAATAATTTAGTTTGGACGGTGAATATACAAAAACACATAACCCAAGTGACAGCTATGAAATGTAAAATGTCTGAACCGAATTAGCTAGTTGATATATAGTGACAAGAAATACGTCAATTCGCTCTGACGAAACGTCTGCGCTGATGAATTGTACAGAGTTCGTAGTGAATTAGTTTCTTAGAACCTAGATGAATTAGGCAATGTATATTTCATGGTCAGTGTCCCCGATAGATCCATGCGTTCCAGTAGGTTGTAACTATGTTAAAATCCGCAGTGCCTTCGTTTTAGTAGTTTGTGGGCTTCACATCAATTTATATCGCTTTCAATTATCGGCGTTATTGATGTTCCGAGACGAATTCTCCCAATCTACCTCATGTCAGCAGTGATGACAACAACACTATATTTGCATGGTCATTATGAGATTTTTCTCATTCGCCGAATACCAATATATCTATAGAATGACCTACACTGCAAACCAGAAAATCCAGAGCGTGCTCATTTGGTCAGTATGGTTTATGGTCAGCGGTCTACTCAATTCTGACTGTGTTTATTAGATACCTTGGTGATATCGCACCAAGCGAGGAAAGAAATAAAAACAAGAGGCTATAATGTAATATTTTATTTGACAATCGATTTGACCACAAGACAAACATGACAATGAGACAATGTGTTGTCTCCTCTCGCTCTAAGACTGTCCGTCGACGTGGGGTAGTTTTTAGTATAAACTTGTTAAGTATATAATATTTTCCCGAATGCATCCAGGAATCTACATTTTGTAATATATTTCCAAGTTATTTATACGGAAATCAATAGAATCCTTGAACTTTGATATATTGGATTGTAGTCCAACTAGACTCAGTGTCAGGTCCTGTCAAGTTCTGTAATATAAATCGATGTCTTGCCCTGTGTCCGACTGACCCTCTGACAGTCGTTGACCACTCCAACCGTAACGGGATGCTGACTGACCAGTATCATGTGATAGGCACCTGCCGTAGGTGAAGGCGTGCCCAAGATCACATACACAATAGGCACTTAATGGATAGTTGTACTCTGTCAACTAGTATCTATTAGTAAGTCTTAGGTTGCTGTTAAATTGACATTTACCCTTTCCAAAGATGAAAACCCGTCAATGGCTTGTGAATGTTACTGACAAAATATAAGTTATAACTTTACAGAGGTAAATTATCCACGGATTATATTTCTTTCTATCGTTCACTACAATACTTTTGATATCCATTCTATATATAAAGAGTGCAAGAAGATATATTTGGCAAACACGTAATAAGTTCAAGATATAAATGAATTTGTTTACATTTTTATTATATACCAGACCAGATCAAGCGAGTTATACGATCTAAAAGAGAATCCCTCGTGAGCACGTGGGACCAAGTTGAATTACAAACTTTCTGTGAAAATACGGGAATAATTTTACTACGATATTATTGGATTAAAAATCGCTAATCTATTCTGAATTCACTTCCGTTCAAATATTTTGATCTATCACGGCATGTAGGTAAGTTGTTTTTCAAGGCACTGCGATTTGACCTTGCCATTTTATAATTTTAATCCACATTATACTACCCTCATAAATAAAATAGATATTAAGTGCTTAAGGTACTTTTCCATACTTGATTCAGGACACGCGAACTGAGGTTTTCTGAAAATCTTAATTATTTACCAAAAACCGTTTAAATCTACCCTGAAGAACAAGATTTCAAGTATTAGACCGATTTAAGGTATTTAAGTTCTTCAACCACTCGTCCGATTAATAAACAAACCGCAATTTAATAGCTTGTTGTGCTGTCGAAGTCAACTTTACAAAACACGTGTGTTTGGTCCACAATGCACTTCTATCCTATTCTGCTATTTGCTTTTTGGGGTCGAGTTCGTTGATCGTAGTTCTGTTCTGACCGATATGGTAATACATTCAAGTACTTTTGTAAACCACAAATTGATTTTTTTGCAAATCTTAATCATCTCCTCATGTGTCTAATTAGTTGTGATAAGATTCGTCTAATGCCATCAGTGATACATATGATCACTAGCTAATTTCTTTTCTGACACAACCTTGGCAAGTCATAATAACTTAATGTTCCAACACACCTTCAGCCCGCATGCCCACGCCCTAATGTTAATGATCATTCAAATCAATATATAATTAACATCTATGGTATATTAATTAATCAAACGGAATGCAGATTGGATAGCTATAAGAAGAAACATTAGGACAATAGATGTTGGAAATGACAGGTTATTTCGTTACATTTATACACAGTCTTGATGTCTACGATACCATTCGTGTAACGTGTAGGTAATCCAATAGGACGGTATCATATTCGGTCCTTTGTTAGCGAGATCTGGTACTCTAGACATCCGTCGCACTACTGTCTACATAGATATGTATATATACTCCAAGATTTGTTACCTTAAACTACCTTAATTCCCATTATTTTCCAATACTTCTGAAACACGAGAGTAAAATATATGAAATTCTTAGAAAGATATAAAACCATAATAAGTATTTCTCCATTAAATTGGAATAGAACAGGGCATATGGTAGTAGGCTCATGATGAAATTAAATTTTATAATTAAAAAAATACACAGAAATCATGGATGCATGCATGCAGTGTCAATATATTGAGACATTAATTATAGTAGATATAGTCATATTTATTTGGAATTTGAAACTCTACAACGCTTTTCTATAGAGCTTGTTTTCGGATCAAATTGCTTTCAACATTAATAATAACACTGTCATAAAGAACCTAGTCTAAGGTTGCCTTTTGTAACTTCTCAGTATTCTACAACCTTTAAATGAATCCTATTAAGAACTAAGAAATTATTCTAGCATTTTACCCCACAACGATGTTGCTAAATTTAGCCTGAGAAAAGTAGATTCGTAATTTCACTGATGCCTTGGCTTCTGTTCTTTTAACGTCAGAGAACATCTCAATATTATATCTGACCTTAAAACAAGCCGGTTAACAAAATTATCTTCTGACTCTACAAATAAATGATTTCATGGAAATGGAAAATCATTAATTAATCTTGATAATTGATAAGATAAGGATACAAATGTACTACGATTGTTTTTACGGCCGTGGTCATACAAGGACGGAAACAACAGAATTACGAATGCATAATCGTGTCTCAACACCGGTTTTATCGATGTGAAATAATCTGATGTCTTTTAATTTTCTGTGCAGTATTAATTAGTCGTGTAAATTCATGTAACGTATGCATAATAATGTTCTGTGTGTCGACACATCACAGGAATGAGTAACACATTTACGACAAGGTAACAAACATCAGTGTTACAAACACAAGGGCTGAGGTAAAACTGAAGCACATGAATGAAGTGATTTGTGTAAGGTAAATCTGTGACTCCTAGACTACCAACCGTAACCTTATACACAAGCGAGATCAGAGGGCGGATAAATATTCTAAATCAACGCAAATTTGTTTGCTATCAGAAAACTACAAAAAAACTCTTGAATTCTCAGTGATAGCAATCTAGAAATGTTTACAAAGGTTTTCATTAAGCAACACGGGTAAACATCGGGGTAGGTTGTCGAGGGGAGGCCGCGCGCGCTATCACCCGTTACCAAACTGTCGCCAGTAAATTAGCTGGGTCAACCAGCTTTGTTTGAAGTCGTGGACCTAGCTTGCGAATAAGGCATTCGATCAATTATGGACATCGGACATAAATGAAAAACGAATAATATTCATTCCTTAACTGCAGTTGCTATTAGTATAGTTATGTGTATTCGAGTAGAGAACTTCTCAGAACTCGCCACAGTATTACGCTTTCTCACATAAATACGCACAACACAAGGGTTTCCGGACAGATTTTTTCAGAACAGGTTATTAGAAAGCATTGTATATTTCCGGTATTATGTTGACCACAGAAAAATATTTTAAGTGCCTTTCATCTAGAAAATATCAAAGTCATGCTTGGTTTATTCTCCACTTCACGGTTGTGAACACTAATAACATAAGCCTTACACCAGATTGAAGGACTCATAAAAATCTATAGGCCAATGCATTGTACATGGGTCAGTGTTGTTGTCGGACAGGGGGAACTTTCACTCCAACACTCTCCTTCACACTGACGTTCAATGGAAGCCTGGGGTTCGGACCCTGTGACACCAGTCACATCGTTAACACATCTACAAGCTTGAATACACTACAGGGAAATTTGAGAGCATTACAAGAAAAAAATAGGAGAAATCACCTCAAAGACACCACTTTAATATTTCTTAAAAAATCGATGATTTAGATATACAGATATTTTACCATTTTCATATTTTGCCTTGTCATTAACAGAAGTATTTTTAAATAGTGAATTGTTTCCTTAGTTGGAGTCTTTCGCTCTAATAATTGCCGCACCCGACCCTTATTTCACGCGAAAATTGCTAACGTCCATTTTGAGTTCCGAGTCTTTCTTCAATTGTAATATTATATCTAAATTTACAATACGATGATTGTACAACGGTCCGATGTTTATCTTCATAGTGTGTAATTGAATTTTATATTTGCACGAACTGAAACTACAGGAAAAACTCTCAATACTGAAAAGATCTTTAAAAGATTAACATGAATTGATAATAATTGCTATTGACTTTTTGTAACCGGATATCATTATAGGAGATGTATATATACGCTGGGTATATATTAAAAGCAAGATGATTGAACATAGAATTATGATTCATATGGAGGAGACAAAGAATTCACGCGATTAAAGATTGATGCTTGGGTAGTACAATGCTATCCGATATTTGTAAACCTTCAAACCGCGCTCAACACCCTCGCTCATTTCATTCACTTCTACAATGCGATAATACGTTAAGGTTTTAATTGCCGTGTCGCTTGTTAAGCGTTTTACGTTCACTGGTTCAAATGTTTGTAATCAACACTATGTTCAATTCAAGTCCTTTTTTCGGATGAATTCAATGCTTTTTGGTCTCTCCAGGCTGCTTTATTTTGTGGGCTTAAGGGAAAATGGTACATAACCATCAGGCGTTTTAAGAAAGAAATCTTACTCTGCTTTTGAAAAAAAAGAAATATCAAAAGAGTATATGTAAGATAATGCTCAACCCTTCTCTGGTACAATAGTATTAAAGGATTTTCAGGGTGGTATAAGATATGGCGCCTCGGTCCTACTTTAGCACTGAGTTGGTATGATTGTCCTTTCTGACGCCTATCCGATATGAATGGGAGCGGATAAGGCACACGTTTTCACTTAATAAGCAAGCACACAGGAAAGGGGGAGTGCTACACAAAATAACACTTACTTTAGAATTAGAAATATTAGTCTAAATCTTGTACGTCTGTATTGTTAACATGAGATTGCCTGTTAGCTTGTCAATGCCAAGTATTTTCAAGAACACGCCCCCAAATCAACATCGCTGTATTATTTTGTGTGTAAAACATACGTGATGTCATTTTTAACGGTATAACACGTTGAGAAGCCAATCTGCTGAAAGCGAACTAATTTCACCTAGCGACCCATACGTGTGAAACAATTGGCATTTCGTCGGTTGGTCAACATTTGATAAAACGATGGTCTATATGGTTCATTCCAGTTCAGAGGGAGATAATTCGCTACCATGTGCCATTCTAACAGGATAGGTAATCATTCGAACTTCCTGTCGACCCTATTCCCCTCCTCCTTTCAAACTGCACCGCGTACAAACGTACGCGTGCACCCGATTAACTTAAACAAACTTGTTGTAATGTGATTAAATGTAAAAAAAAATGTGATTTTATGAATATTTAAAGTCTGAGCTTATGTTCTTGTGATGAATTAAGAAAACCTTTTTGATACACACACTGTAATTGGTATCGCCAAAATACCTCCTTGATGCACGCACCGTAATCATATCTAACTCGAAACATATTGCCACAGAGTATGACCCAGCCTCCATATCTAACGAGGTTTTGATAGACTGAAACTGTACACATGTCGTTTGCACTTGACCAGGAGACAAAGAAATCATCCATAAGTTTTCAGGGATTCATTTGTTGATTTGCATTCCATGAGCGTAAAATTGGTTTTATTCCCGAAGGAAAATAATCCGACAGGTTGTCGTTCCTCGGGCAATGTTTCATTATGTTCAAGTTTTGTCAATGTTTATGTAATTAGGTCTACACAAACAGAACATATCTAATTGAAATTTACATCTTATTCCATTGTGAAATTTTGTGTAGCTGGACATGCTGACTCGGAAATACACACAAATATAGCAGGTCACTATCAGCGTTATAAACAATTATAGAACGTTAAGCTATTCATGATATTATATAATGTTTAAACTTTTCGTTACAGAAGCTGAGACCGTCCAATCACGCCACCATTCAGAGCATGGTGCACGCCATTGGAATACATACAGACGTGCCGGCGCCTTGTTGTGTCCCCGAGTCTCTCTCCTCCATCACGCTTCTCTTCTTCGACAGCAACAGGAATGTCGTACTCAAGAATTACCCCAGCATGTCAGTCAAGGCGTGTGGCTGTAGATAAATAAGTTTGAATCATCAACATAATTGATGTACGTGGAACTCATTATCAGTACAGATATTCAAATATAGTGCAAACGATCGGGCTCGGTGATTACCCGTACAAATACAAAATTGGTGCGGTGACAAAGAGGGACCGATGCTAACAAATTAAAGAGAAAAAAAATAAGGCACCGAAGAATACAATGTTGATCACAGATTGTTGGGGAAAGAAATCAGTATAAAGGCACTATTAATAGAGAGTAAAACAGACAATCGTATTACATGCGAAGGGAATAACACGTCTTTAGCAATGAAAGTACACTGGTGTGACATTGTGCTGATTCTGTCGTACTCAAAAATAACAACAAACCAGTCTATTGCGTGCCAAAATTTTCAAGCATTCGGGAATTTTGGAGCGTGTCATTTGAGTTTCCTAGCTTCTGTAAGGACTTGGCAATACTGGAGGGCAGCAATTTGTACTATTGAAAATGAATGTAAGGCCCATCATTTACAGACATTGATACTAAAGACACATTCGGCAAAACACACCAATCGCTGCATTTTCAGTCATTGCTTTGATCTTTGGCTGCTAAGACGACATGAAAATCGCCAGTATTTGCCATGGCTTTTCACATGAGAAATAGCGTGCAAATTGCCAATATTTGCCGTAGACGTTGGATGGGAAAACAACGCGGGACGCTTTGTTGTACATTTAGTTCTAGACAGTATATTGATGGTTGTAATTGAATATTGTTTTCAGATTTTGACCTCGTGACATTTATTCTGTAGTTTTCGGTGAATAATGGAGCCATGACTCGGACTCACGCCCTTCACATTTCCTTTTACAACTTCAAAATGTGTCATCTACCTCATTAAAGCGTCGCTGTGTTGTGTTAGTGATGACGTCATTGACACGTTTACGTTTGTGTTGCCATGTAAGCTGTACGAGGGCAGTTTAAGTTGATTGTAATAAAAAAAAACTTGATTCAATATGTTTGAATACAATTTAAAAGAAAAATGGTCAGTGTAAATCGGTATACAACTCATCTTCATATATTTCTTGATTTTAAACATGGCATCCTTGTTTACTTCTGATTTGTACTTCCATGTATATTTTTTCTAGTTAACCATTTGCTACCAATGTGAGCAAACGCAACTGTCGGCCCGATATCATACTGTCTACTACCATCACAGTCCATCAGCAAATAAAAAGTGTTTCAACAATAGTCATTATCAACATAATTAGGTATTGCTGACACTCGCAAAATGTGTATTAGTGTCAGAAGTGGCCGGAAAAAAATCTTCTTTATGTATAAGGCAGCCCAAGTTAAGTGTGTTGGTGTGTAGAGTTCAAAAGTTTTATAAATTGTTTGGTTGCACACTCTTTTTTCATAACCATCCAGACGATATTCTCTTAAGTGTCCATTGCATTCTTAAACCGGACGTATATATATATATATAGAACATGCCCATGTGCTCTTCTCTGTCTCTTTTATGTTGGCCTGTCTTGTATATGCTGAATATACTACACCGGCCCGATACACTTACCATATCGGAAATCTATTTAAAAAATACGCGATGAAGTTGAACACTTAATTAAAATAATAAGAGCTGCATATTTCTAGTTAAAAAGATTTTAATTTTTATTTTCAAAAAATAAAAAGTTGATGAATAAAACTCAAATGTCTATTATCGGATACACATCTATATTATATATGTACCTACGTTAGTTTTTTGTATGTTTTTGTATGCATGTGCGTGGGAATGTGCGTGGGTGTGAATGTTTTGTTCCTGGTTCATCTCCGACCGACCGTGGTATTATGTATGTGTTGGAGATTATCAGCTTGTTGTTGTACAACTTCCAAATCATCGTCGAAAGCGAGAGCTGTGTGTACAAATAAATGTCGTAAGCTCTCTGTATAGATCTTTGTAGAAAACCCTCTGTACGAATTATTGTCGCAAGCTCTTTGTACAAAATATTGTCGAGACCTCTATAATATTTTGTCGTGAGCGGTTTGTACAAACCAATTTCTTGAACTCTTTGTACAACTTCATTTTACTTTATTTATTGTACATAGAAATAACCATTATATATGTAGAGAAAATTAGTTTATCATCGTCGTCATTATCAATCTCTCATCATCTGATATGTCATTTGAGATTCGTTGTCATTTAAATATCGGAATTATTTTGTAAAATAAATTACAAAAACAAACATTCTTTAACATTTTGTTTTGTTTTGAACTTATTTATCATTCATGTCGACTATATAGATATGTTCTCATTCATTGATTTACCCACGTAAAGTTCCACAATTTGTTCATTCGAAATGCCATAGGGATTGCCATCGACACCGTGAACAAGACCACTTAGCTTTAATGCATTATAACATACCCTTACCATCTTAACCATTTTTCGAAGAACTGATGCATAAAGTCCACATCACAAATGTGGTCGATACCGGAAATAGTGAACCTGCGAGCATTCTAAATGTACCGGAAGTAGTGAGATGTAGATCGTTTTAAATAACTTTACCGGAAGTATTGGTCCCATTATCATAAAATGTAATTGTACCGGAAGCAGTAATTCAATAATCACATATTATACAACCTTTACAGAAATAATAAAATTCTAACCAAACACAATATACCGGTTACTACTGCCGGAAATACCACGGTAATAAGTGTTTACGTATTGTGTTGTCAGAAAGCCGTTTACGTTCACTACGCTATCGTTTCCTGAATTGAGTCGGTTGTAAACTACTTCTATCAGCTATTGAATGGACCTGTAAACAAAACGTTTTCGGTTTATTGACGTGCAAACAAAGTGTACCGGAAACTTATAATTTTCTATATATTAATTGACGACTGACCTACCTTATACAATACAATGGTGACAGAAATGGTCAGCAGACTGATATTGACGTTCGCACTTCTATGCGTCCTAACAACGTTAACCAACTTTAAGATTAGATTATTAGTCCTATTGACTTTGTCGATATACAAACATGTAAAAAGAGAGGCATAAAAGTAGAAATTCGGAACCAACAGACTTCACACTGTGCTGAACCACAATTGGACCACTAGGACAACATCTAGTCAACAGTTGTAACATGTTTTCTCAATCTGAAAAACAACAAATAAACTTTAAACTTTATCTACTACGATACAATATAACTTATGTCAATGTTATATTAGAACGGCATATTTTACATAGCAGTAGAAGTATTTTGGATTTCAAAACATTCAGATATCGACGTCCAGCCAAACCTTACTTATACACTATAAAATATTGTGACATCATTACATAAGTAAACTTCGTTGTAGTACTTGACGCCTGCGGTATGTGGGATATAAAAGAACAGATAAAATATTTTGTAAACACGAATTTGTCATTAAAAAGTATTTAACAGTTGTACTCTAGCACCATAAACTTCGTGCTAAGAATAGCAGCAGTACCATATGGTCAACTTCTGATGGCAACATTTGTTTAAAGAAACAAATCATATCAACTCATATTATAATCTTTCTTCGCTCTTATAGAAGCGCGAGAGTCGGAGGAAACCGGAGTACAAGGTGAAGATGTTTGTGTTCGGAAAAATGAATTTACCAAATTCTTGGAAACGGCCCAACTTGATCAATTAACATGTACAATTAGATAAAGATATGATGATTTTGACTGAAATACAAGTACCGGTAGATCAGAAGACAACACTGTGGTAGATATTATTGATATACAGAAAGACATTCCGACTACCGAAAAATCTCTTACGCTATCGCTGAAATTATTAAGAATTAACAGAGGATATCTTATGCTTCAGTGCTATCAAAATGGATCACTGAGGAATAAAACAGCTATTTCATGGTTATCTAAGGAACATTAAACATCATTGTCCCTCTGTAGGACCTTTCGCCATCAATATTCCATACGTCTTTCTCATTATCCCAGGGCGATAGTTTTTGCCTGTTTTCCGCGTGGCGAGGAATAACTTTACAATGCTTTATAAATATCTTTTGTGCACACTTTTTACATTCTATAATGATATCTTTTAATATATGTAGCAAGTTTATATTTCTGGAAGTTGAAGTTTTCCCGGCCTTTTAAGATAGGTAGTCACTTTTTCCTTTTTTTTATAAGTATTTAATTGGAGACAAGCAATTTTGAAAATTAGACAATCAAATGAATAAAATCAAGGACAAAAAACAAGTGACAAATGATACATGTAAAATCCATGTATTTGAAATATATTAATAAAATTAATAACGGATAATCAATATTTGAGTCATTGTCATGTTATTCGTAGAGATGTATGAGGTGAAACAATCTCGTTATTAAGCCAAGCTTGAATTACAGCTGGTAGTAACAAAATTTGATATTCCATCTCAAATTATAGTTTTTCTTTGCACCGTTCGCCCTCACCAGCTGCGAGTGTTTATTCAACCTCCTGGAAGACTTGGGTGATAATAGGGCTGAAACTGTTTATACGTTTGGACCAAACTTTAATTAGAACTGACAAACGACCTTTTCAGCATAGGGAGAACCGGAACTAATCATACGGCATTTCTTATATATTGAACCCTCGGCTTGTCCTACATGCGGCTACTAAGTAAAGTTTTACTGGGGTGACATCTGATCACAATGACCTGACTACATGTTACACGATTAAGATTCCCGGATTCTCTTACTGTGCATTTGATCGGTGAAAAATTTAAATTTCGTTCTTAATTCGCTTTAAATCTTTAAATAAAAACCAATCACGACTAGACTAGATAGTACATAAACATCAGTATCAGAAACATTCAATCAATGAGTTTTACGTTATGTGTCAGTCGACTTGTTCACGTTTGGCTGATTGATCGGAGCTCGTTATTAAGACGTTATTGTCACTGGTAATGTTTTACAGGCAGCTGACATTTATAGGCTCGTTACATAGCAAGGCAGAATTATGTCATCAGGAAGTAAAATAAAGGTGAATGTTACAGACAATTTCAAAATTCCTTTTAAAGCATTTCATCCCATGAT